GACATAGCCAGGGGCCATGTCTGGGGCAGCCGTGTCGATGACTTCCTGCAGTAGGATGGTGTTGTCGTGGATCAGCCTCTCGGGGACGAAGCCATTCTGTAATGGGTTGATCAGACTGTCGAGGAGCTTGGTGAGTCTGGCATTGATGACCTTGCTGAGGAGCTTGTAATCCACGTTGAGTAAGGTGATTGGACGNNTGTTGGCAATGTCCAGTCTGTCGCCTTTCTTGAAGATGGTGTGGATGATTCCACACTTGAAGTCACTGGTGATGGTCTCAGGGTCGAGCAGCATGTTGTTGAACGTGGCGGCAAGGAAGGGGGCAAGGACCTCGGCGTGTGTCACGTAGAACTGTTTTTTTTTTTTTTTTTTTTTTTTTTTTTTTTTGACTAGAGTGGAAGTTTATTATTATTGCAAATAAATTGGCGTCATTGAAGAGGCGGGATAATATATATAAGTTAGTCGATTTTGAATTTTCTTGATTTTTTTCTTTCTTTTCTTTTCTACTGTAGGCCTCTGAATTCGGCCACCAAGTATTTGTTGATAGTTGGCGGCAGAGGCGGAAGACGGATGTCGCTGTTGCGAGTGCTGAGGTGCCACTTGGTAGTGAACTCGGCCATCTCATTCTTCACGCTGATGGATTCTTGTTTGTCCCTCTCATACTAATTAATATGAGAGATGGAGAGGATGACAGGTGTGTTGGTTACCACACACCACAAATAATAATTGCAGGGTAATTGATCAATAATGGATGCTCCATACACACCTCATCATCCTACCATACACACACCACACATTTGTTTCGCAAGGGGTTTGGTGGTAGTGTTTCATACCACACCAACCAAATTTGTCGAAGTTCATCAGTTAGTCATGTCCCAGATTCAATGAAGGCTTGGTATTCATTCATTCATTCAGTTTATTTACAAATATAAAAAATTGCTACAGTTGGTCTATGCGAAGGACCATCTCCTGCCTAGTTGGTACCAATATTTCTTTGTTGTCACAATCAATCAGAGATGCAACAACAGAGAGGAACTTTGATTTACGTTCAGCAACAGGCCAATCAACGAGTATTCCTCGACACCAATAACCATTTGGACACTTGACCATGAAGATCTCCTTATATGCCTTAGAGGTAATCCTAACCTGACTATACATCTCTTCAAAAGGGACTGGAATAGATGTATGACTGTAAGGTAGCAGGTTGCATTCCAACACCCATGCCTTGTCATTCTTGATCATCACCAACTCAGTACGAGCTCTACGGCTGTGGATGGATCGTGTTAATACAAGCAACAGTCATCAGGATGTTTATACATACTCTCTCTGGTAGTACTGAACGTAATACTCAAAAGTATTACCCTCCGCTAGGTATTGATGCTTGAGAATCTTGCAAGGCCAGAACGTGCCGTAATATTCTGATCCTGTCGTATTCGACATTGCGTTGTAGAAGCGACTGGTGTCAGTGTAGAGCGGTTGTCTTGGTAATGATGTGGTAACATGTGACTGTAGTGCACCAGTACGTAGTCTCTTTGGTCCCTCGTCAACTGAACCTTGATGGTCCATACTACGTTTGCTTCCAGATGAGGTCGTGGAAGTTGAGGTTGTGGATTCCGACACTGTGGAGGACATTGGTATTGGCGTCGATGGGTGGGCTGAAGATGATTGGGTTGACATCGTTGAGGAGGTCAACGGAATGGACGTTGATGGACTTGTTGTCACCGCTATGACTGACATGCTCTGACCGTCATCCTCTGTATCGTTCATTGCTTTGATTGATTGATTGATTGATTGATTGATTGATTGGTAAGTAAGTTATTCAGTGTAGTGTTGATCAATGCCTATACATACACATAAAGTCCGTTGCCAACAGGGGCTCAGCGTAATGTACATTGTTTAGCCCACCAACATTTGAACCTAGGATTGATGTATCCAACTCGGCCATCAGACTATAGTCAATGAATGAGATGTCAACTTCATTCTCAAGATCGCATAGGACATTGGGATCTGGCAATGGCTCTTGATCGGACGTGCTTGGTGCTGCTTGAGCTGGCGGTTGTTGCTGTGTATTACTGGTAATGTCACTCGTTTGTTGTAGTTGTTGGAAGGACATCAATTGAAGTTGATGATGTTGCTGATGTTGCTGGAGTTGTTCAAAGTCATCGTCGTCATCGAGATCAGGAATGATTAGGTTGCGTCGTCGTTGTTGTTGTTGTTGTTGTTGTTGTTGACGTAGATGTGATGTACCTGATGTCACATGTCGATTGGAAACATCACTGAGCTGTTGTCGATGTTGTTGCACTTCCGCCTCATCATCCGAGTAGTCTGGACCAAATCCACCGCCTCCAGAATAATGGTCATCGTCATGCAGTGGTGTAGTATTTTTTTTTTTTTTTTTTTTTTTTTGCAGCGGTTGTAGTTGTGTGGCACCTCGCATTGGGACGACATTAACTGGTTGAGCCTGTGTCTGAAC